GCTGCTGCTGCTGCTGCTGCTGCTGCTGCTGCTGCTGCTGTCGCTGCTGCTGCTGCTGCTGCTGCTGCTGTAGCCAGCAGGCACATTCAGCATAATGTCGTTGGGAACGAAAGAGTCCGTCAACTTCTCAGCCATCGGGTGTCTGCTCACACACCCCAAAACCCTAAACCCTAAACCCTAAACCCTAAACCCTAGAAATGAGGGTTTATGGCGATTTTAGAAAGGTTTTAAGGGTTTAGGGTGTATATATGAGTAGGGTTTAGGGTTTAGGGTTTAGGGTTTAGCGTTCCCCCTGCTCGTCGAGAAAAACCCTACCCCAGCTTCTATCAAGGGTCTAGGGTTTAGGGTTTAGGGTTTAGGGTTTAGGGTTTAGGGTTACCTGGCGTTGCGCAGCAGCAGCACGGGTTCCTCATCCTCAGAAGGCCGCAGCAGCTTCGGCCGCGTCATCTCAGGCCCTGCAACCATACAAACCCTAAACCCTAAACCCTAAACCCTAAACCCTAAACCCTAAACCCTAGACACTAAACACTGAATACTAAAAAGTATAGGAGGGTCTTGAACAGCAGCAGCAGCAGCACCAACACCAACAGCAGCAGCAGCAGCAGCACCAGCAGCACCACCACCAGCACCACCACCACCACCAGCACCAGCACCACCAGCACCAGCAGCACCACCAGCACCAGCAGCAGCACCACCACCACCACCACCACCAGCACCACCACCAGCACCAGCAGCAGCACCACCAGCACCAGCAGCAGCAGCAGCAGCACCACCACCACCAGCAGCAGCAGCAGCAGCAGCAGCACCAGCACCAGCAGCAGCAGCAGCAGCAGCAGCAGCAGGAGTAGAAAAATACCTGGATGTGTGCGAGCGAAGGTAGCGAGACCCTGTAGAACATCTATCTCATTGATGCAGTGTATAGACACCGCAAAAACCTCCGCATACACCTCAGCAAACTCCTCCATTAAGCGACAACGAAAAGGATAAAAAGAATCTGTTAAACTTAACTCGTGGTCTGAATACATAAGAAACCCTAAACCCTAAACCCTAAACCCTAAAAAACCCTAAACCCTAGGGTCGAGGGTCTAGGGTCTAGGCGTGAAACGGAAGAAAGAGATAGTCGAGGAGTAGAGATATATGCAATAAACCCTAAACCCTAAACCCTAAAACCCTAAACCCTAAAACCCTAAACCCTAAACCCTCACCCTCAAGCTCATCGACAAGCTCGCATATCTCCGGTGTTCGGAACCTGCACTTGCACACAAACCCTAAACCCTAAACCCTAAACCCTAAACCCTGAATTTTAGACTTTAGGGTTTAAATGATGAATGAAACTGTCGCCTGTAGCTAGAGAGAGAAAGCTAAACAAATGCAGCTAGGGTTTAGGGTTTAGGGTTTAGGGTCTAGGGTTTAGGGTTTAGGGTTTGGGGTCTAGGGTTTAGGGTTTAGGGTTTACCGTATAAACCCTTTTCTTGATGAGGTAATATCCGCCTCAAGCTGGCGGAGGGTTTCTCTTGAAACCCCTTCAGGGCACTCCACCTCGAACCTGCACAAACCCTAAACCCTAAACCCTAAACCCTAAACCCTAAACCCTAAACCCTAATTTTTAAACCCCCAGTTGCTCTTTATGATTCAGGGGTTAGAGTTTAGCGTTTCCTTAATATTTCTGTGTGTGTATATTTATTTGAGGGATCTAACTAGGGTTTAGGGTTTAGGAATTAGGGTTTAGGGTTTAGGGTTTAGGGTTTAGGGTTTACTTGAATTTTGTATGAGTATATTTGAGAGTATTTATTTTTGTTTTTGTTTGCAACTCGCTGAGTATTTCATTTAATTTATTTTTACATTTTTTTATTTCTCCAGAGGCAGCGTCATACTCAGGCACTAAACCCTAAACCACAAACCCTAAACCCTAAACCCTAAACCCTAAACCCTAAACCCTAAACCCTAAACCCTAAACCCTAGGAAACAATAAACCCTTGGAGAATAAAACAAAAAATATACGGCAGAAGAAGGAGACAGAAGAAACAGAAGAGACAGAACAAAACAAAAAGGAAACAAAAGAAGAAAAGGAGACAGAAAAAGATAAAAAGGAGACAGAAAAAGGAGACAGAAGGAGGAGACAGAAGATAAAGCAAAAAGGAGACAGAAGCTGATGAAGGAGACAGAAGATAAAGAAGGAGACAAAAGAAAAAAACAAAAAGGAGACAGAAGAAGGAGATAGAGGGGAAAAGGAGACAGAAGAAAAAAAACAAAAAGGAGACAGAAGAACAGAAGAAAAAAAACAAAGAGAAGAAAAAGGAGAGAGAAAAAGAAAAAGAAGACAAAAGAAAAAAAAGGAGACAAAAGAAAAAAAAAGGAGACAGAAGATAAATAACAAAACAA